TTAATGGAAAGATGGTGATGAGATGCAAAAGACCCAGAGAAGTTTGAGTCATAATGGCTATGTAAGCCAGTCAAAAAGCCTGAGGCTGAATTGATTCAATCTTCGTAGGTTAGTCTAAACTGCATAGATTGAACCGATAAGCAAGTGAACAGGTATTCGCTTTTGATTCCAGAAATGTAGCAACATGCCTGCGGTGGCCCAGGCTTGAGCATGGCTCCCTGCTGCTTAACTGGGGTGGACAGATTGGGCCAAGGCTTGCCTGTCCACCCTGCAAGGAGGAGTTTGCAGGGGAGGTGCAAAGTATCCAGGGATGCTGGGGGACTGTGAGTTAAATTGAAACTGGAAGGGAACTGGGAAAGAAATTCAATGAACTGATTTAACCTAAATCAGTTAAGTCTAATACCGCATCCATCCAGGTTTATCTTAAACTGATTTTGGCCATTTTGAAAACATTTTTTGTGCACTGAATTTCTATTCTGTTACAGATCTGAGCTGGTTTCCAATCACTTGTACCAGTTTATGTGTAATGTCTGTCCCTAGCAAAATGGCAATAATCAATTCAATTACAATTCTCCTTTATCTGAAAATGCTACATTCAGATGATTTAAATACCCTGTTATGGAAGGATATTATTTAAATCACAGCTCTTCATGTTTTCCAGCTCAGCCACAGGATTTGGGGTGTGATGCAAGGATTATATCAGGAATTAAGATCTGTGTCATGCAGGAAGATCACATTATTAATTCACAGCAGTACTGTGTTAATTCCATAAATCAGCCATATTTAATTATTGATGCAGCACTGCACGTTTTCATATTATTTCCTATTGGCTTCTTCTTTCTCTTAGTGCATACCTGCATTCCAGTTTGCACCTATTGAAAAGGGTTTCCCCATTTCTAGCAGTGGTTAATAAAATCAAAGGTAGTCAGCAGGTAGTTGGCAAAAATGTCATTGTACTTTTTCTGTGATATTGCTTGGGAAGGATGTTTTATTATCATTCAAGCAATGCTGGTCCTTGTTATAAGACTGATTTTCATATTGCATAACATATATGTAATAATATGTAACGTAATAGTACATTCTACAGGAAGTATACATCAGGGCTATTTTATAGCAAGACAGCAATCCAGGAAGTTTAGCCATCAAATAGTACTGACTGCAGATATGCAAATATTGTGCACCAGTGATTTGAAGGTGGAGGATATTTCTATAACCCGTTTTCAGTTCCCTGAGTCAGCCGATCTACAACTTCAAAAGGTTTTTTTTTTTCACCATGTTGCTTCAGCTCCCAAGTGATCAGTCAGGGCCATCGTGGTACCTTTCAGGCAGTATGCCATCTTGAGAAGCCTGACAGTTTTAATGGGTGCTCTTATCTTTCTCAAGTATGTCTGCAGCAATGTGTTATTCACTTGATATTTGAAGTAGAAAGGACTGATCTACAAAATCAGTTAAGAGCTCTGCACAAAACTGAATTTTTTAAACTGACAATGGTAGAAACAGAAACTCAGACTTCCCAGGAATTATGTCATGTGACTAATGATGGGATTATTGGAATTATGAGGATTGTGACATTATTAAATATAGGAATTGTTGGGACTATTCATACTGCTTAATACTAACCAGTTGAGTGAATTTTAATCATCTATGCATGGTAGTAGGCATACCGAATCGCAAGAAAAATAAGCTATTCACTATGTCACAATATAGAGGCATATAATACATAATACTCTATCTCAAAAATGAATTTCTGTGAATCTAGTAATGTATATGTTTTAAGGCAGGAACATAATCATAGGTTGGGGGGTGACTTCTTGCAAACTTAATAATAGTGGTCAAATGACAGTCTTGGTCAGCTTTTTATGTACTCTTCTACTTTGTTATTTTTTTCATTAATTATTATGAAGGGATAAATGTTTTGTGTAATGATGTATATTTTTCTGTGGGAAAAAAATACCCTATTTATTTTCATTTCAGTGATAAAATGTTCCCAGCCTTTGGCTTTGGAGCAAGGATACCACCAGAATATAAAGTAGGTGCACAGGTGAACTTTTCCAATTTATTTGATTTATATGCTACAGTTTATGACTAAACAAGTGGTTTGTTCATTTTTTCCCCTCTGCTTCTGTGTTCAGATGACTTTCTGATATTATGTCATTATACATACAGCTCTAAGTATCAGGCTCACATTAAAGTTAATACATCAAATATAAGTTAATGGCATTGGCAAATCTACATTTTTTTATGTTCGTGTCCCATTAGGATAACCTTAGACCTTATCTTTTAAGGTTCAGGTTAGGTTTTGAATAATTTGTTTAAAGCAAATTTTGAATACTTGTAAATCCTGATGTTATATAACTAACATTTGGATGCTGCATTTTAACATGAAAGCTTCCATTGATGCTTTATGATGAAGTAGTTCATGCTATTTCTGAAAATAATGGTCTTAGCAGAATTCTACTTTGTGGCCATTTTGGGTGCATAGGTGAGCATCACAATTGTAAAAACCAGAATGAAATAAAATGTCCATATAAGAGAGAAATGCAGAAGAAGCAAAAGAGACACAGAAAGGTCCAGATTGGCATTATAACCAGAAAAGGGCAGCTTAAGAAAATAGGATCTGGAAATGGTAGAGTCAGTATAGGAAAGCAGGAACAGACCCTGAAGGCCTAAGAACAGAAAAAGGCCTAAGAACAAAAATTGGTGTCAAAATTCTGTGTTGCATATGAAACAGTGGGGTGGGGAGCAATATGAAATGATGCTACCTAGGGATTCTTCACTGGTTCAAATCAAATTCAATCTGAGAAACAGCAGCTTTCATGCTTTGGAAAGTACAAATTTGATGTGGCATCACCATGCTACAACTTAGAGTTGCTGTCAGCTGGGTTGCCTCACAGTTGCAGAAATACTGTGAGGAATGCACTTGTACGTTTAAAAGAGGTGCAAATGTAGATGTTGTGTCATCATAATACCTGCATTGACAAGTTAAGGAAAATGTACCTTTGTGTGCTCGAATGCAGGTGTCCACATTAAGAAGGCAGTGGTTATCACTTAATAACAGGTTTACATGTGGTGCATACTGCAGTGCTCACAGCAGCTTCACAACTTGTTTTATGTTATGTTCTGGTAAAATTTTCAGTATGATCAATTCCCCATAGCCTAAAAAGTTCTGATGTGAAAAGGTACACTGGACATAAGGGAAGATATTGTACTGTCCTGTAAATGCAATATGACCCAAGGCCTTAAGAAAGAGCCACTTGATTCTTGTCTGTTATTGAGGGTACTATGGTAAATACTTATGAAAAATCATTATTCAGACATATGTATATGAATCATGTGCCCTTTTCAGCCATAGCATCTGGTAGCCATCCTCCTCATGTTTGTGTGGATAATGGTATCAAATGACTTCTACTACCCTTAGAATTAATGCTGTATAGGAGACCCCTCCAAAATTTGTACATCTGTAACTATGTTTGATAATTCACTATTCATTTCTTACAAAACCCAATGTGCGTAGCTGGGTTGATTAGGTGGCACAATATGTCCATCACAACCAGTGGTTTTATGAGGAAGGATATCATTCTTTATGCCTGTCAGCAACACATCCTTGACAATTATTTTGATGTACAAATATAATCATCCATCCAGTGCAAGGCATTGAGTTGGTGATTACAATAGATGTTAGTTCCGCATCCCTGTGATGTATCTATGGCTACAGTTCTTTCAGCTGCAGGGAGGCATGCCTACTTGAATGGCTACTTGGTAGAACATGATACTCTGCTGATTGCAATCGCCCGAGAGGACATTTAATGATGGTAATAGACTGAAGTTGTTGACAAAGTTGTATTCCTTTTCCAGAAGAAATAATCAGCCTGAAAGTGCTATGGGTAACTCCAGTCTGACTAGCATATTGGCAACATATTAATTGTATTTGTCCTCAGCAGTATCATACTCACCTGACTTTCAAGGGAATCCCAGGTATGAGATGAAAGACAGATGCACCATCATAAAGTGATTGCAGGAGCACAGGGAGAACAGATATTCCTCCAGTCAACCACTCCTGGCTGATGTCCTGCTACACAAAACTGTTACTTGCATAGTTCTGTTGAAAAAGTTGCAGTCAAATGCTGATAGGAAGGTTGAGGATTTGTACTGAATTTTACAGGTCAAGAAACATAGAAAGTCTCACTCTCAGCACCAAAAGCATCCTTGAGAGGTGGTATGGTGGCACTCACTCAGGCAATGACAGAAAAAGGGACATGACAATAGGTTTAGAGTTAGGGTAATTTAAAGCTGAGATAATAGCATTAATTGTAGAATGTGTGTATGCTTTACATAGCTGTGCAAAAACAAAGGGGTCCACAGAGCACACACATATTAAGATAAAAATAACAGGTACCAAAGCAGCATCTAGGGTCTGCTCAGTAGAAAGTTATCATAGAAGTCACAGAGACAAGATGATAAGACCTCCACTAACAACTGGAATGAAACTTTGAAGAAGGGAATAACCATGCTGCAGCAACAGGTGGAGGACCTGAAGTTAACTTGTGTTATCTCCAATGAAAAAGGAAGTCATGTCAACATTGGATGAGCAGATCACTGATGAGAGAGGAAAAAATCAATTTCACCGTGTGAGTATGCATCTGTAAGTCTTAAATAGCGTATGCATGTACAACTGAAAAGGCTGTCAACAGTCATCAAAACTGCTGTTTAGTTTTGATAGGGACCAGTTTTCTGCACAGTCCCTATCAAAGAGTTGTGTTATCCCATATATACTGCTCTTATTCTCAGCTTGTTTTTAATTGCTTTTTTATGTTTCTCAACACCCATGTCCCATAGGAAATGTGGAATCAGTGTCAATATTGAGGCATTATTAAGGATTATTGAAGATATTGTGAAGTATAATGTTTTTGTGAGCCAAGACTAACAACCCTAAAAATATTGCATTAATTTAAATGTACATGATTATTGCAGAGTTTACTGAAAAAAATTTTAATGTCTAATGCAAAACATATCCTTGACATACTGGCGACAATGAGGAAATTAATGTCAGGGAAAATTTCAAATAATGCAAAACAGAACTTGTACTACTTAATTAGGTAATTTACCAGATTGTCTGCTCATCCCATCCACTCCTGCAAAAATAAGCCAATGCTATAAATGTTGGAGAAGTAATACATGTTGCATGTTATTCAACATAACATTTTTGTCTGCTAATTAACATCAGTGCCACTGAGTCACAAAGATATTTTAAAGCAAGTTGTGGTTTATTATTAGAAATATCAGTGTCAATTATTCTGCGAAGCATACTTTATCCTCTGGTATTAGATAGGGTACTGATTATCATGGGTGTGTGAATTGGGCCCTGTTCGATTTGGATTCAGCCTAAATCAGGGACAGTGATTCGATTCATTCATTCGGATCAGTGCCCCTGATTGGATTCAGCCAAAACTGAATCTGAAGATTTGATTCTGATTCGGAGAATTAGCGACATAGACACAGCTTTACAAGTTTTTTCTGCATACCTTGAAGTAGCAGGCACAACTTGTGATTGCTGTGATACGGGGGCACATGGAGCATCCCACAGGAGTGCGGGGGACCCTCCACGTGCTCGGTGGCAAACCCAGAAGTGGACCGGAAGTAGTTCCGGTTGACTTCTGGGTCTGCCAGGGAGCGTGCTGCCCCCCCCCCCCCCCCGCACCTCTCTGGCTCAGCAATCAGCCGTAGGGGGTCCCTGGGTGCTTCCCCCTGCCCGCCCCCGACCCAGGAGGCAGCAGTCGCCAAGCTGGCCGGGCAAGTGGGGGTGGGGGCAGCGTGCTCCTTGACAGACCTAGAAGTGGACTGAAAGTGTTTCTGGTCCACTTCTGGGTTTGCTGCCGAGCACTCTGGGGAGCCCACTGCATTCTTGTGGGACACTCCATGCGCCCCAGCATTGCAGCACTCATGAGCCACCTGTGAGCTAGAGGTATGTAGAGAAAACATTTAAAGCTGTCTCTATGTCCAAATCTCTGAATCTTTCTGAATCTCTCTGAATCCATTCGGAGGGTTCCGATTTGATTTGGAGAGATTAAAGGGTCCTCTGATTCGATTTGGATTTGGAGATTCGGCCACTGAATCAGACTGAATCTCCACCAAATTGAATCAGGGACTGAAGCTTCGTACAGCCCTACTGATCATCATCATACTTCAAAGCACTAACCCTGTAGCTTGGTTCATGAAATCTGCTTTTCATTTTAAATATATCCCTTCTATGAAACCACAACAACAGGGGGTGGCCTACCTATAACACATGTGCCACAACTGTCACAGGCACTGCCTTGTGTGTGGCGCGCACAGATTGAGGAGGAGGAAGGGAGCAGAAAGTAGAGCAGCAGATCAGGCAGGGGACAGGGATCAGAGAGGCCTTCAGAGAGGGCATAGAGATTAATTTGTGCCACAAAGGCTGACCCCTGCTGCTTTAACCTGTTTGTTGCATGTAGGCCTCTTCACACCAGCAGTTAACTTTCATTTATTTCACTACTGAACAACTGGCCAGAACTCAAGGACAATAAAATCACCCTTTGCCCAAATATTTCTGAGATGCATCAACATTAACCATGCAACAATACAACTTTAAGGAGATCTAAACAAGAGCTATGAAATCATTCATTGTGCATTACCCTGGTTAGCGAGAACCAGGGCAGAACAGACGGTAAATACAGTGAACAAGATAAGTGAACAGAACACAGGTCTTACGTATGTCATCTGTTACAAGCTAGAAGAATTGCACCCAACTCATTAAGTGTTCATTATGGGTAATGAAGTAGTTTTACATATTCATAACTAATTATAGATCTCTTAAATCCAATATGGCCATAATTTGTAACAATGTTCTTGGTCGGTGTTTCATGAGCACAGTATATCAAGAGTTTATAGAGTTCCATGAGCTAGAGAACTCAGTACCTCAATTTCAGTATGTCATGTTTCTGTTGGTAATTTGTGGTTGACGTAGGAAGATAATATGCTAATGGTTCCTACTCACCTTTTTCTACA